CATAGTGGTGGGATGTTGGCCTCTCCATGACATTAAGAGAAAATAGAATTGGGTGTGACAAGTGAGGCCCTTTCTATGTAACTTGCAAGGCGGCTAGCTATGTGTTGGACTGAGGGCCGAATACCTCAGAGTATGAGGATGGGTGTTGGCCTCACTGGACCACTAGTATGAGGCATAGAAGGCCTTAGAAAGCTAAATATGGAACCCATTTCCCTGACAGCTAGTAATTCCGTCTAAGGGACTGATATAAACAGGGAAGTTTGAATATAAGCTAATGGGGAACGTACCTGTATGAACTGAATTAGAATTTATATGCCAAAGGATTGAAGATTCAGTGGTTAGTGGTGCACCTACGGGTATGTGAAAGAGAGAATCATGTCCGAGTCAAAATGTACTGTAACACAACAGTATCTCAATGGAGTAACAGGCATATCTGGTTATTAGACAGAACCCAGTATGGAAGTTCAGATTCTCAGGACAAGGTCTATCAAATTGTAGTATCGGATATGTGGGCAATGTCAGTGCGACAACGATAGTCTATAAATATCATAACAAGACATTCTATGAGAAATTGTATGCAAGTCTGAGTAGTGACAACAGATAACATGACTTATGCCCAGACCCCTAAGGTGGTCCAAAGTCCGTTTGTAACTATCAGTATAAGCGTATTTGATATGTAACCAAGTCAAATCATATGCCTTCCAATAGGAACTAGTTAGGCTCAGAATAATCCACAACCTAATTGTTTAAAGACCGTAATGTTATTTGTGAAGTGTCACAACAATCATACCAGTGTTGCCCCAGTGAAGCTTAAACTAATACTTTAACAATATACAAGTAGATGTAGCCCACCATCAGTGCTAGGGGAACATTGTGTATATTCAATTGATATATGTAGTAGTTATCTGAATCAAGTTTGATTATAATTAACATAAAAGTGACATGCTGTACAGTCCCTTTAATGACTTGGTATATATTGAAGTGACCAAGCAACCAGGAAGTTTGGGGGAAAAGGAGTATGTAACCAACACCAACATGCCACGAGTCAGATTTAGATCTTAAAACAAACCCCTCCTAATTATATATACCAGCAGCTCTTTAAAAGTGTTGTCAAGTGAGCCAGTGCAGGCTTGTGATAAGAAAACGTGTTGCTGCTTATCCACTTCCCAATTAATAAGCAGAAAAGACACGTGGACTTCTGATTTGGCTAATGTTTCACAACCTGCAAACCTACAGAGCCTGAAGCAACAGAAAAGCAGTAAAGTTGTAGGAGTTATAGTCCTTATAACAGACCATTCTGACTAAAACCAGCCTCATTCAGAAAACTGCACATATAAAACACAGTAATTAATACCAATCAATATTGTACAAGGCCACAAGGTGGCAATATTAGCCAAGCAATCTGCCTATCTGGCATAAGAAAGCTGTACACAGCCTAAATGAGGGAAAAAGCAGTGCTATAATTGAAAGTGCTTGTATGTACGTAGTGGGGAATCGCGATGCAGCCTAGAACAAAAACTAACCCCATTCAACGCCCCCATAAAGACAGACCACTTAGTATGAATGAACAGGCCACAGCATTTATTATCACAAACTAAATTACTGCATAACACATCCATAACTTTATTTATTAAATCTCTTCTTTTTCTGTAACCAAAAACGTTAGACATAAATAATCATACATTAACATATATACATATATAACTCCACACATAGTGTTATACAGTGACCCAACCGTCCTTGCCAATAAACATAGAGTGGTTCCTAATCACCACTTCCTCTCACCTCCCCCCTCGTCATAAAATAATATCTTTCCAATGCACGCAATCAGCCGACCTTATCCACGCTCGAGGGGAGGGGAGGTGGAGACCTTAAAAACTTGTTCATCTCATTCCATATACTTAAACGTAACCCCTCAAACTCAGTTGGCAAGGACATACCCCCGCCACAACCCCGCTGTTTTACACCTAGATTAACAATAAATACTGCACCAGTAAATAAAATGACAATTCGGGATCAATCCAAAAAACACAAATGACATAACATAGCCCAAAATGTGTATATATATATATATATATATATATATATATATATATATATATATATATATATATATATATATATATATATATATATATATATATATATATCTATAATGATAGACTCCTCATGTAGAGTAAAACTCACAGGATTTATAATATGCAGGAGGGTGCCTAAAAAGGCTAAAACGATATCCTTGAGGAGAGCAGCACAGGATACAAAGTGCAGAATCCAAAATTTATTGAACAAATAAACAATGAAAACAGGGACAATACGCAGTGTATAAATAATAAAATATACTAGGCACAAAGCCTAAACAAAAAACACCACAGAGTAAATAAGAAAAAGTTGCAGATACAATACTTTGGTCTAGCAGCAACCGCCTTTCAACTCCAGCTGGAGTCTTCCTCAGTGCACCATTAACATCCGACCTCCAGCAAGCGCACCCATCCCCTCGAGATAACTAGGCCACATCCGGCCAAATCCCAAGGTGAACTGGAATCCCCCAAGCCCCCAAGACAAAACTAGATACCCATCTCGTCCGATTCCCAACAGTAGGGCACCAGGGCACTCACATTGCTGAGCGCACTGCCAACTGGAACGGGTGATAGCCTCAGCCCGGCCCCTGAGAACCTCTGGTAAGAAACAGAATGCGTAACATGTCCAGATTTAAGAGCATCCAAATCCCAAACAGCCACCGAACCCAGGTCATTCCACCCAGACAGATGACAAAAAACCCCAGTACCCCTAGGAGGCAGGACAGCTGACCCAGGACGAGGAGGAGCCATACCTCCCTCATGTAACTGGCGCCAGACCACTGAACCTCCAGTCTCGAAGGCGTAAGATCCAACCACTCGCCCTCCGTCTCCTGTCCCAAATTACATATGAGCATCCCACCCTCCTTGTTCCGAGGTGGGGGGGGAGGAGACAGTAACGGCGGAGAGAAATCCATTTGGAGACCGGCAGGGCGAACCCAAGGAACCTACCACCCTGACCCCCACCATTCAAGCCCTGTGAGCCAGTGGCACAAGCACGCTCAGCCTGGCGGCTTCTGTAGCCACCCCTAACCGGACTGAATGCCCCTGAACTCTCCACCATCCTTACCCAGGAATTCTAGCCCCAATTGGAGCACCCCAACAACATGGACGCAGGCTCGAGAACCAAACAAAGGGAATGGGGGCCGAACAACCCAAGGGCGAAATAGTGCTCACCGAAGGAAAAACAGGACACATGTGGGAACCCGGCGCTCCCCCAATTGAAACGGTATATTTCCAACTATACTGGGAACCAGTGGCGTACACATGACCCATGGGGCCCCGAAGCGAACATTGATCCGTGGGCCCCCCCCCCGGGCTTACCTGGCACGGTTCGGGGCCGCAACACATGGCGGCGGGCACCTGGTCGCAGGGGTTGCAGGGCTGCGACCCCGCGACCGCGGTATGCACACACACTTAAAGGACCACTACAGACACCCAGATCACATCAGCTCAATGAAGTGGTCTGGGTGCCAGGTCCATCTAGTTTTAACCCTGCATCTGAAAACATAGCAGATTCAGAGAAACGGCTATGTTTCACTGAGGGTTAATCCAGCCTCTGGTGGCTGTCTCATTGACAGCTGCTAGAGGAGCTTCCGCGATTCTCACTGTGAAAATCACAGTCAGAAGACACTGAACGTCCTTAGGAAAGCATTGAGTAATGCTTTCCTATAGGCGATTTAAATGCGCGCGCGCCTCTTGACGCGCATGTGCATTCGGAGCTGAGAGGCGGAGGGATTCCCAGCGCCAAGGGAGTCCGACGCTGGAGAAAGGTAAATGCTGAAGACACACACACTCTCACGAACAGACGCATACACACTAGCTAACAGACACACACATTTACTGACAGAGACACACTCAGCGACAGACATACATATGCACTCACTTACAAAACATACACTTTCACTGACAAACACACACTGAGTAACACACACACTAACACACAAACACTAACACACACAAACA